TTGGCATCACGGGCACCTCCAAAATTCGATGTAAACCGCTTCACGATCTGTGAACCACCCACCTCTCGGCAATAACAGCGTGTGACTCAGCAGCATCGTAGCATCTGCCTTGCCGATGGCGTAGGCGTAAAGTCGGACGTCGCAGTTCTACACGAGATTAAAGTTGCTACTGGAACCTTCCGCTAATCAGGACTGGAGTCCATAACTTCGGCTGCAACGACCAGTCCGTTGTCAGTGAACATTCAGGCTCACATTGCACCTATTACCCTCTATGCCTCAACAAAAAACACACAAGACTTTAAACAACCATCGACCACCCTACCCCCGCCCCTCTCCTCCCTCGTCCCTTAGAGGCCTTGTCATCAGTGGCAGCTTTGCAGCTAAATTCGGTTCGTAAACTAACCGCGCACGAGGCTGACTACCTCAACCAGTGACTTCAGTGATTTCGGACAGATGTGTGGAAAGCCACACGACCACACGCAAAAACGCAATCCTATATGCAGTCGTTTTTTTTTGTTCTGCGTGGGCCAACACTCAAAACAAGCGTGGTAAAATGACCCAACAGGTCATCGAAGTGCGATCTAGCCAACTGTGCGTCGGACCCGCAGCCTTACGCAGCTTTGTTTTAAAACGTCATTCACTTCGCCTCACAGCTACACGGCAAGGAGGAGTCCAACACGTAACACGTATATATTTCTTTTGTAAAAGTATGCTAAAATATGATTCGCATGAGCTAGCCATTTCGGTGTAGTGGAGGGAGAGGTAGGAGGAAGATGACACATAGATGGGGCGGGTGGCTACTTGATACGAAAGCGGCATTATGAGGAAGTGGATAGTGTCTTCCAGTTTGGTGGGGAATCAGTGGTACCACGAGATGCGAATCTAAGACACAGAAACGTTGAGTCCATTTAATAGCGTCGGCGATCCATTTTGGCACAGGGGAAAAGGATTCGGAACCGTTTGGGCAATTTTGGATCGAAGATCCACACCAGGAAGAAGAGGCCTAAAACAAGGCATAAGTCAAATCATTACTGTCAAATTTAGGTCAACTTTAAAGTTGTTCACCATTCACCCGTCAGTCTGTCTACCAAGTCAATAAACATTCATGCCAAGATTTCGAACAGTTCTGTATTAAAGTCAAAACACTCTGATGACTCACCTACAATACAAACACCGGCAGAACCATAGAAAAGTAAGTTCCATTTTCCCTTAGCCATTTGACTGGCAAACGCACTGAGACAACTGCCAACAGACTAAAAAGGAAAACAATTTTGGATTATGAACAATGAACTAGAATGCTTTGTCACTACTTTGGAACAATAGACAGACCTACGAGGGTTAGGTAGGAAAACAGAAAGGTCAGAGCAAATGAAAACAACTTACGAATGCACTAAAGACCATGCCGTAGTTGGTGGCCATGTTTTTGGGACCAAAAAGAAGACGCGTGGCGGCAGGCATCATGGCGAAGACACCAGCCATGGAAAAGAACATTAGGCATACAAAAATGCCGTAGGTGTAGCGACCTACAGCAGCACCCCAGATGAAGACATTTGGGAAGCAAAAGAGCGAGAATGACCAAAGTATGAGCATACACCCAATGGGAAGCTGTGTGGAAGGAACAGAGAGGTGCAAAAGACGATGTGATAATTTAGTAATGCTAGTCATACCCAAACCTATAGGTCTCAGCTTCAGTGTGCTTGTGCCAAGAATTATAACTCAGTTTGGGGTCACAAATGGGGGACATGGGGTGAGGAGGGAGACTAGGGGTTAATACCATAATAAGGCAAAAAAATTAACCAAATAACATGAAAGCCATTGAACTGAGAGTTCATAACGAGTACGGACACTTCAAAATGACATGACATGACTGATGAGTAAGGGAGAACAAGCACACATACTAGTGTTAGTCGGAGTGCTAGTAGCAAAGTACTCTTCCAAGTCTTAAAACAAACCCATCACCAATGTAAACTCTGTTCTATTTTTTAAAACAGTCACACAAAAAATCCCACAATTCAAATGTAAATCACTTTTTTTTTCAAAGTGACAATGAAAAGTTAAAGTATCGCATGATCGGAAGTGATAAAAATGCTACTGAAAGAAATGAAAATTAAAATCATCCATGAGACATTCCTCTTACCTTGAAGGAGAACTTATCCACCAAATAACCCCAAAATACGCGACCTAGGCAGTTGGAGAGTGAGCTGAGAGTGCCAATCGTCGTCAGGTAGATATCATCCGCGAGAAATTCATTGCCGAAAATCTAAAATTAGGGGAGAAGAATGCCCTTTACGAGCTAACGGCCACATTGCTTCAAACAAAAAGCACTCTGCCTACGTGACAAGCAGCACA